CAAGAATACTGGAGTGGTTTGCCATTTCCTTCTCCAATGTAATAAAATACTACCTAGCTATAAAAAGGAATGAACTATTGATAAACAGAACAACATTGGTGACTCGCAACTGCATATTGCTAAGTAAGTAAAGGAAGCTAGAGCCAGAAGGCCATATTCTGTATTATTTCATTAATATGACATTCTGGAAAATAAAACTATTGGAGACAACAAATCAGATTAGTAGCTGCTAGATGATAAATAGAGGTGGGGGGGCGCAGAGTTAACCACAAAGAAAAAGAGTGAAAGTTGGAGGTGATGGCACTATTTTTTTTCTTAAATATTTATTTATTTGGCTGCCTCCGGTCTTAGTTGCCACTTGTTTCATGTGGGATATTTTGTTGCACCCAGTGAGCCCCAGAGTGCAGGGGGTCAGTAGCTAAATTATGCTGGCTTAGTTGCTCCACAGCATGTGGGATCTTAGAACCCATGTCCTCTGCATTACAAGGAAGATTCTTAGCCACTGGACTGCCAGGAAGTCCCCGTGGCACTAGTATTTATTGTGGTCATTAAATGAACATATGTCAAAACTCACAGAATAGTATACCAGGAGATGAATTTTACTATATAATTTTTTTTCAAAATGCATAAAAGTAAAATAAAGGTAACAAGCCCAAGGTAAGTTCAAACAATACAAGGAATTCAGTAAAAAGTCTCCCTCCCGGCTCTTTATGGTGATAGAATAGTTCTGCATTTTGATTCAGCAATGATTATATAAATCTATACATGCGGTAAAATGAGACAAAACTCTTCAATGCCAATTTCCTGCTTTTGGCATTGTATTATAGGCTTGCTCCCCTGAGTTGAACACTATTACAAAGTTCTTGTGTATCCTCTGCATATTAAATCTATTACTTTATATATGTATATGTGTACATAAACATTTATACGTACATATTTTTAATACAAACAGTAGCGTATGACACACACTGTTCAGCACCTTGATATTTTCAACTAGTACTTTGGAGGCATTTCCATATCACAAACACGTGGAGCCACATCATTATTTTTCCTGTTGCATAGTATTCCATCACACAGTGGAATCATAGCTTCATTCCACAATTTCCAATCAATGGACACTGAGATCTTAAAAAGGATTTAACCTAAGTAATCTGTAAATTTTTAAAACATGAAAGGTCAGCTGAAATTGAGACAAACACACAGATTCAAGACTTGTCTCCAGAATATCTTTTGACCAGGAGGGGGAACGCAAGAGGCAGGAGGAGAGGCGAATTGCTGGGAAATTTCCCTGGCCAATGGTAAAGTGGAAGGACCAGCAGGAAATTACTGCCGGGTAGGAGTTCGCCCAGGGGCGCCCTAATGCTCTAGTAGGAGGCCATGCTCCAAGACCCAGCTTTCCCTAGGCTGCGACTCTGAGTACCCAAGTGGGTCGGGATCACAGTGCAATGATGCATGACCATCTCCAGCTTCCCGTGGGGACCCACGGCCCGGGCTGGGTCTGAACCCCCACGGCCTCCGGCTCACGCGAGCGGGGGGACGTACACGTGGTGACCTGCCCGGGGCCGGGTTCCCGGCTTCGGCTCCTCCTCCCTCCAGCTCTCGTTCGGCTTTCTGCAGTATCACGTGCAACCGCGCCGGGTGCAGGATGGCGGCGGCCGCTGCAGCGGTGGGTGTCAGGCTCCGAGACTGCTGCAGCCGGGGCGCTGTGCTCCTGCTCTTCTTTTCCCTATCCCCTCGGCCCCCGGCCGCCGCCGCCTGGCTACTGGGCCTGCGGCCCGAGGACACCGCCGGAGGCCGCGTGTCCCTAGAGGGGGGCACCCTGCGCGCCGCGGAAGGCACCAGCTTCCTCCTGCGAGTCTATTTCCAGCCCGGGCCCGCGGCGCCCGCGGCGCCGGTACCTGCACCCACCTTTTCCCCGGGGGAGAACAGCACCGGCGACTGGGCTCCACGACTCGTGTTTATCGAGGAGCCTCCGGGAGGGAGCGGCGCGGCGCCCAGCGCTGTGCCCACGCGCCCCCCGGGGCCGCAGCGCTGCCGCGAGCAGAGCGACTGGGCATCGGACGTGGAGGTCCTGGGGCCCCTGCGCCCGGGAGGTGTGGCGGGCTCAGCCCTAGTCCAGGTGCGGGTGCGGGAACTCCGCAAGGGCGAGGCGGAGCGAGGCGGCGCGGGCGGTGGCGGGAAGCTCTTCTCCCTGTGCGCCTGGGACGGGCGCGCCTGGCACCACCACGGCGCCGCCGGCGGCTTCCTGCTGCGCGTCCGCCCGCGGTTGTACGGCCCCGGCGGGGACCTACTGCCCCCCGCCTGGCTGCGGGCGCTCGGAGCACTCCTGCTGCTCGCCCTGTCTGCCCTGTTCAGCGGCCTACGCCTGAGCCTGCTCTCGCTGGACCCGGTGGAGTTACGGGTGCTGCGGAACAGCGGCTCGGCCGCCGAGCAGGAGCAGGCGCGCCGAGTGCAGGCCGTGCGCGGCAGGGGGACCCATCTGCTCTGCACCCTGCTCCTGGGCCAAGCCGGAGCCAACGCGGCCCTGGCGGGCTGGCTGTACGCCTCGCTGCCGCCGGGCGTCGGGGGCACCGGGGAGGACTACGGCGACGCGGGAATTCACTTCCCGTGGCTGCCGGCGCTCGTGTGCACCGGCGCGGTGTTCCTGGGCGCCGAGATCTGCCCCTACTCCGTGTGTTCGCGGCACGGGCTGGCCATCGCCTCGCACAGCGTGTGCCTGACCCGGCTTCTGATGGCGGCCGCCTTCCCCGTGTGCTACCCACTGGGCCGCCTGCTCGACTGGGCGCTGCGCCAGGAGATCAGCACCTTCTACACGCGGGAAAAGCTGCTGGAGACGCTGCGAGCCGCGGACCCTTACAGCGACCTGGTCAAAGAGGAGCTCAACATCATCCAGGGCGCCCTGGAGCTGCGCACCAAGGTGGTGGAGGAGGTGCTGACCCCCCTCGGGGACTGCTTCATGCTGCGCTCCGACGCGGTGCTGGATTTCGCGACCGTCTCCGAGATCCTGCGCAGCGGTTACACGCGCATCCCCGTATACGAGGGCGACCAGCGGCACAACATTGTGGACATTCTGTTTGTCAAGGACTTGGCCTTCGTGGACCCCGACGACTGCACGCCGCTTCTCACCGTCACCCGCTTCTACAACCGGCCCCTACACTGCGTCTTCAACGACACCCGGCTGGACACGGTGCTGGAGGAATTTAAGAAGGGTGAGCATGTGGTCTATCTCCTCCCTCCACTCCTCCCCCCTTTAAAATATGGGAGTGCTTGCGTGCTCAGTCGTGCCCGACTCGGTGCGACCCCCGCATGGACTTTCGTAAACATGTGAGGCCTCAGGTACCCAGAGCAGCTTCTCTCCTATGGAACCAAAAACTCGAGGAAGGTCCTACCGCATGGCTTCCTGGGTCTTTTCATTGCACTTCTCTCTACCTTCCTTGAGGCTGATTGAGTTCCTGCTTCTTCCCCTTTATGTGGTTCACAAGATTCACTGCATGCCTCATTCATTCCATTCCAGTATTTTTTCAGGGCCCACCAATTGTCAGTTATTGTGCAGGTAGAACTCAGGGGCTAGTCCTTGGTGGACACTGCATAGCACCCCATTGCAGGAGAAACCTCTAAAGGTTCCTGTAACAAGTGTCTTTGCCTTGAACTCTGTGCTCTGGGTGGAAGTTCACCATTTCCTATTCCAGAGCAAACTCCATTGCTGGACAGCTCCAGCTGCTGACAATGAATTTCTTAGGAGGAGCAGAAATTTATGTCTCCAGAGCTTTTTTCTGGGTCCTAGTTTTGCCCTTTGAATCACATAGAGCAAGCCCCAGGCATCTTAGCTATTCTTCCCCCATATTGATCTTTCCATCAGCTGTGCCTTGGACACAGACCAAGTACCCAGGTTGGAGATTAAAAGTTAACTAACGCAGTGACATCCTTGGACTTCCAGAAACTGTGGTCTCATGAAGAAAAGTAGATCTAGACCTGAGGAAATATTCTGGTAAAGGAAACCACTAAAAAACTTGCATATCCAAATGAATGGAGTTTCCTTCAGAGCGGTCACATCCCCTGCCCTTGTTGTCATGCCTGTAACATGTTTACTACATGTCTGGGGTTTGCCTTTGGAAACTGTCTTCTGAGGTTGAGAATGATTCACTGAAGAAAAATCAGCCTGGAAACTTTAGGGCTGATCCTCTTGACATTAAAGTTTGACTGGTCCCCCTAGTTAACCAGAGTTGACCCAGAAGGACCCTGGGTTGTTTTTGAAAGTCAAATCTACCTTCACGAGTCACCATTGAGAGCTTTCAGAAGACCATCTCACAGACCCTTAAAGCAATTGAAGAAATGATTTGAAAACAGTGACACAGTTAGAATAAGTGTAGAACCTCCCAGAATTTCAAAAGAGGCATTCATCTATACATATGAGTTGGCATGTTTATTGAAAACAAAACAAAGCAAAAAAATAATCTCTTGACTTTAGAATCTGCTTGCAAATGTAGCTCCCTGTGGCTAGCAGAAGTCTCACTTGACTGCATATTTCTGATATATTTTTGTTTGTCAAAAATTCAGTCTCATTACCTATTTTATCAGCACAGGTACTCTTTGTATATGAAGAATTTGCATTCAGAGATAAATCTGTGGTCTTCCTCCTGCCACAATATTTTTAAACAAGTAAAATTGTATTGAATATCAAAACATAACCTGAGAAGGAGGAAAAAGTCAAAAAAGCTACTTTCAATCTCAGATTTGGAGAGAGAACAATCCTACATTTTGTGTTGGTATCATGAGAAGGGAAAGGAAATGTACATATATTGCAGCTGTTTTAACCCAATCTGGGCTACTATCTCACCCTCTTCGGTCTCCCCCCAATCCTTCCATGACTGAATCCCACTGCACTTGGAGGTTCATCCATCCAGTCTCAGTATTTTTCTGACATTTTATGTACCCTCCAGAATGGAGTCTTGGTTCTGGGCATAAAAGTTATGAGAATTTGTGTTAGTTTACTAGGGTTGCCATAACAAAATACCATAGACTGAGTGGCTTAAACAACAGAAATTTATTATCTCATAGTTCTGGAGGCTGAAAGTCCAAGATTAAGGTGTCTTCAGGCTTGATTTCTTCTGGAGCCACTGTCTTTGGCTTGCAGATGGTGGCCTTCTTGCTGTGCCCTTACATAGTGGCTGCTTGGTGTGTGTGCTCTGGAGTCTGTGTGTGTGTGTGTGAGTCTCTTCTTATAAGGACACCAGTCAGACTGGATTAAGGCTCACCCTTGTTGTTGTTGTTTGGTCGCTAAGTCGTGTCCAATTCTTTTGCAGCCCCATCGACTGGAGTCCACCAGGCTCCTGCATAGGATTTTCCAGACAAGAATACTGGAGTGGGTTGCTATTTCTTGCTCCAGGGGAATCTTCCCAGCCCAGGAATTGAACTCTCGGCTCTTGCATTGGCAAGTAGATTCTTTACCACTGAGCCGCCTGGGAAGCCCTAAGGCCCACCCTATCAGCCCCTTTTAATTTAACCACCTCTTACATGTGATTGGGCTTCCCTGGTGACTCAGATGGTAAAGAATCCACCTGCCAGTGCAGGAGACGTGGGTTCAATCCCAGGGTCGGGAAGATCCCCTGAAGAAGGGAACGGCAGCCCACTCTCTAGGCAAGGTATTCTTGCCTAGAGAATTCCATGGACAGAGGAGCCTGGTGGATTCATGGGCTCTCAAAGAATCAGACGTGACTGAGCAACTTTCATTTTCTACATGTGATAGCCAAGATAGTGTTCATTGTCCTGCACTGCTAGACAAGATTTGTTTTTATTGAGGTATAGTTGATATACAATATTATATAAGTTTCAGGCATATAACATAGTGATTCACAATTCTTACAGATTACATTCCACTTATAGTAATTGTAAAATATTGGCTGTAGTCCTTGTTTTGCACTATATATCCTTGTAGCTTATTTATTTTATGCATAATAGTTTGTACCTGTTAGTCCCCTACCCCTATGGGGCCCCCTCTCTCTTTTTTCTCCCCACTGGTAACCCCAGTTTATTCTCCATATCTATAAATCTTGTTTCTTTTTGTTATATTCACTAGTTTGTTTTATTTTTTAGATTCCACATGTAAGTGATATCATACAGCATTTGCCTTTCTCTGCCAGACAACATTTTTAATGAAATTCCTGGGAACTCATTTATTCATTAATTATTTACTGGGCATCTATATAGAGCTAGGGAACAGGGGAGACAATAAGATTGCCCTAAGAAAGATAACAGTCTCCAAGGGAGGACAGTGTTAGAATAAAGGCAGTCTCCTGAAGCAGAAATTGTGCCTTTCTAACCACTGTATCTCTGGCACCTTGCACTGTTCCTCGCACATAGTAGGCTGCTTGAAAAAGTCAGTATTGCTCAGATATGAGTCTTGTTGCAGAATTTCTAAATCTGGTCTTAAAAAGGCCTGGTAGTGTTCTATCAGCAAGTGCTTAGTTTGCAATTAGGTAGATCTCCAAAGAGAAGCAGGTAGTTACACCAAGGAAGATATTTCCATGCCCCCTTAGAACCTCCCTCCTTCCTCAAAGTGTGGTCCATGAACCAGAAGCATGGGCCTCACTTGGGACCTTTATAGAAATGCAGATTTTCATGCTTTACTGCAAATCCACTGAATAAAAATCTGCATTTTAGCAAGTCCCCAAGAGACTCACGTGTACATTAAATTTTGAGAAACATTGCCTTATGAGATTCTTATTAACAATGATTGGTAGCCTCCAACTAATAAAAATAAATGAAAAAAAAAACAATGATTGGTAGATTAACTTAGAATAGAATAAATATAAGGTATAATTATTAAGGTAGGTGTTCTCTGGCTCCAAGCCATATAATACAGTGGTCATTTTTTTATAAGAGTTCTGTTTCCATCATAGGTTAGGAGAGGAAAACTGAATTGAACTGTCTTTCTTTACTTTTAAAAATAACATTTTAGTCAAGTCATAACAGCCCTTCCATTTACCTCACTCCCTTGTACTTCAGGTAATTTAACCGCCTAAATAAACCCCGTAGGAGGTAGGAGAGGAAAATGGTCATTTTAATAGGAACAACAGTTACCAATTAATTGAGCGACAGCTCTACTAGGCACCACGCCAAGCTCTTTATATACTCAGAACAACCCTCCTGGGTAAGAATTATTAACTCCATTTTACAGATGAAGAAACTAGAGCTCAGACTGATTACATGACTTGCTCAACTTTCCAGAGCTAATAATTGCCTGAATCATGATTTGAACCAGATTGAAGGTCCCGAAAGCCTATTTTTTCCCCACCACACGTCTTATTATACTTCCCATCCCCAAACTCCTGCCATCCCAAGAGTTCAAAGCTGGTCTTTCACTTCAGACTTGCTGCCCATGATTCACCTCTTGTTTCTGCAGATTGGAAATGTAGCTTTTTATAATTACATTAATTGCTAATATGCATTTTACAAAAAATTTCTACCTCTTTTATCCGTAAAACAACTCTGCAGGTGTAGGTGAGGACCATAAGAATCGGAAGAGTTACTTGCTCTGCCTAAGATCATCACTCACCTGGTTGGTATATTCCAAGACCCAGATTCAAGTCTGGGTCTTGTGACTCCAAAGCTCATATCCGTTTAAGATTTTCTCTATACATTTCTTAGGAGTTCCAAGTCTTTAGAAGTGGGGGAAAGGAAAGCAAGCATGCTAGCTTTACAAAATGGAACAATATTTCTTCCCACTAGACTGTTAATTCCTTGAGGGCGGAAAATGAATCTTACTTACTTTATGTGCTCAGAACAAACACAGTGGCCCTCATGACTACTACTTCTTGTTGTTGTTTAGTCACTAAGTCATATCTGATTCTGTGTGACCCCATGGACTATAGCCAGCCAGGCTCCTCTGTCGATGGAATTTTCCAGGCAAGAATAGTGGAGTGGATTGCCATATCCTTCTTCATGGGATCTTCCCGACCCAGAGATCGAACCCACATCTCCTGCGCTGGCAGGCAAATTCTTTACTGCTGAGCCACCAGGAAAGCCCTGGCCATATGACAAGACATTATTCAAATATCATTGAATAAATATTTATTGAATAAATTATCTTAAATGGCTGATTTCAGTTTTATTTCTCACTCAATTATTTTTGAGTGAGGTGAACTTTAAGTACAGAATAATTAGTGTTGTTCCATTGACCATGACCAATCTTTCCTCTTCCCGGGTTCTC